CTGGGCGCGGACTAGTGACGCACGAGGCAGGCGGCGGCAGCCGCGCGGGGCAGTTGACACCCAGATGGAGTGGGAGCAGTTGGTTCGGAAGGTGGTGGTGCTGCAGGTACCGGGCGGTCGGGTGCACATGATGACCCCCATGGGACCTCGGAGATACCGCCCTGAGGAAGGCTGGGACCCAGGGGCCCCCACGCGCTCCCAGCACACGCTCTTGGGGGACCATGGAAACGGTGGGAAGGACCTTAAGACGGGGATCCAGCCCGGAGCCCCAGCGCACAGCGTCACCTCTCCTTTGCCCGTGGCCACGGGGTGACCTCCCCAGGAGAATCCCAGAAGATGCCTCCACGTTAGCAGTGATGAGGCTTTCTCTCCCCACCAGGCCTGTGTCCGGGGTTTCCTGGTCCGACGCCAGTTCCAGAGTCTCCGAGCAGAGTATGAGGCTATTGTACGAGAGATCGAGGGTGATCTGGGCACACTGCAGTGGACTGAAGGCTGGATTCCCAGGCCCCGGTTCCTCCCACAGGTAGTGCACACCCCAGAAGGAGAAGGGACCTGGGTAGGGGATTCAAAGGAATGGTAGACTCCACCCTTCCTGCTGACAAGCTTTTCTCAATGGAAAAGGCAGCAGCAGACTTACTTCCCCACACCCCAATCCTGAATCTCCCCCCAACTTGTAAGCCTAATGGCACCCAGATACTTAGAGGTTTAGCCCTGGGGCACTCATACCTCTCTGATTTCTCAGAAGGCAAAATCCCATCGGAACTGGAAAGCTGGAGAGAGGGTACCAAAGTCAGAGCAGGAACTATGGAGTTGCTTCCCATGTAAGGAGCCTGAGAGAGAGATGATGCTGAAGAAGTCCGGAGAGAGCTCAGCAAACTCAGAAAGTCTTCACCGCAGAGATGACAGCTCCTGGCTTCGGGATCAGCAAAGCAGGAAAACCAGGAAACCCAGCCAAGAGGAGACTGAAGCTATGCCAAGGATGGAGAACCCAGGTACCTCTCTGCCTAGATCAGGGCAAGCCCCTGACCCTCTGTGGGCCTCAACTTTCCCACCTAAAAAGTGAAAGGCTTTTTTTAAACTATATTTTTTATTGATTTCAGAGAGGAAGGGAGAGGGAGAGAGAGAGAGGAACATCAATGATGAGAGAGAATCACTGATTGGCTGCCTCCTGCACGCCCCCACTGGGGACTGAGTCCACAACCCGGGCATGTGCCCTTTACCGGAATCCAACCCAGGACCCTTCAGTCTGCAGGCCGACACTCTATCCACTGAGCCAAACTGGCTAGGGCGTGAAAGGCTTTTTCTAGATAAGTTGCACCCCATCCTCCTTCCTTTCGCCTAGTTGAGGGCAACTCGTGGGTGGGCAGGAGGAGGGTGCTAGGGTCTAATGCTAGGTCACTGCCCAGGATTTACACCTTAAGGCTTTCTCCCATTCCTCCCTCCTTCACAGAAGCTGCAGGTCCAGGACTGCCCCACAGTCCAACAGAGCTCCAAGAGCTCCAGTACCAGCGCAGCCACTTGGCCATGGAGCTGCTGTGGATACAGCAGGCCATCAATAGCCGTAAGGAGGTAGGCACTAACTTGGAGCCCTTTGTGCACATTTAGAGACAAGGGTAGCAGTGAGGGAGAAGCCTCCTGCCATGCCCTTGCAGGCCTGCCTGGAACAGTGTTTGTTCTCTTCCCAACAGTACCTAATTCTCAAACAAACACTGGGATCCCCAGAGGCAAGGTTAGACCACGGGGGACAGACCTGTGAGAGAGCTGGGTCACAACCAGGCCCCCCACTGGAAGACCAGTACTACAGAGACAGGACAACTGGAGAGCAAGACCATGCAGATGACTCTTGCTGGAGGCTCAGATCACAACCTCACAAATCCCCAGAAAGACTGGCCACTACAGATGAAACCACTGCTGGGGCCAAGTACAGGGACCCAAACCGCAGGAGGGCTGGATCACAGCTACCCACACCATCAGATAAGCAGGCCATAGAGAACAGGCTCACCAAAGAGCCACATCCTGGGGAACAGACCTTTGGAGGAATCTGCCTACAGCTGACAAAACCGGAGGACCAGACACCCACAGGCCTCAAACCTAAGGGCCACTGTTCTGGAAAGGCCAGAACACAGCTGCCCACACTCTGTGTGGACCCAAATATTGAAGATAAGTCTCCCAGAAGGTCAGACCACAAAGAGCCTAATTGCCAAAGAGCTAGGCCACGAGAGCTGGGCCTCTCAGAGGACCGTGTCAACTGGGGTGGGACTTTGGCAGAACATGGTAGCCTGGATCTCTGGAAGACCAAACCACCCAGGGCCAGACCCCCAGTAATAAAAGCTCCAGAGGTAGAGCTTCCAATGAGCCTAGCCCTGAAGGATGGAAAAACCAGAGGAATGGACCGTGGAGATCAAGGCCACTTGAGAAACTGTCTTCTACAGGGTAGATAGCATAGGAGAGAACCACTGGAGGGACAGGCTGTGGGAAACAGGACCAGCAGGCTAGACCCTGGGGGAGCCAGGGCTGATATGAAAGGGCAAGGAGACAGGTCCCCGGTAGCAGTTCTACCTCCTGCCCCTGGCTCTTGGTGGCCAGTGGGGCCAAGAGAAGCTGGAGCAGAGTTGGCACCAGTACAGGGAGAGGAGGGAGAAGGACACTCTTTCATCCTTTATCTGGGCTCAATCCAAATTTCAGGACAGGGGAGTTACCTGGGTAAGTAGAAGGGGAGACCTGATGGAAAATAAAGGTTTTCCTTGGATTCTGAGCCTCATTGCATTCATTTGCTGCCTGTGGTCAGAACTGGCTGGAAGCAGACTAGCCATCCTTGGGAAATAATCCCCAAAGCTGGTCCTCCCTGTAAGGTGACAGGGAGATTCTGAGAAGCCCTCCCTCGGCCCAGTATTGGGCCATCTATTTCAGTGTGATCTCTGCCACTGCCTCTCACTGAGCCCCAGCATCTTCCTGTATATAGTGATTACACCCTCTCTGCTCTGGTGAGGCCCCTGCAAGGGCAGATTGAATGAGACCCTGAATGTCGATAGATGTTCCTGCTGAGGCTCTCCCTGCATTCCTGAGTGAGAGGGCAGGCCTCCACCTCTGACTGGCACTGCTCCCAGGCCTGCCTTAGTTGCCTGGCAACAGCTCTGCGTCTCTAGCTGAGAGCACACTATGGCAGCCAAGAGGGTAGTGGTGTACCGGAATGGGGACCCTTTCTTCCCAGGCCGCCAGCTGGTGGTCACTCACCGCCACTTCCCCACCCTGGAGACCTTCCTCGGTGAGGTAACATCAGCTGTGCAGGCCTCACTGGCTGTGCGTGCCCTATACACTCCTTGTCATGGCCACCCTGTCACTGACCTGGCCGACCTGCAGAACGGAGGGCAGTATGTGGCTGCTGGCTTCGAACGATTCTGCAAGCTCCAGTGAGTAGCTGGGGCTGGTCAAAGAGTGTAGGGAGGGAGGTAACAGCAATAGCGCATGTGCAGAACTTACTAGGTATGTGCAGACACTTTAGACATTATAAATGCAGCAACCCTATAAAGGGGTGGTCTTGTCCCCATTCTTTAGAAAGGGGACATCGAGACAATGAAGTTAAGTAACAAATAGTGGAGCCACAGTTCAAGTTGAAGTCTGACACTGATGTTTGTCCATCACAGGACCAGCCTGTGAGAAGGAAAACATGCTCCTGCAGGCTGAGCCCCTTTTACCAAAGGCTCTTCCTCACGAATGAGGAAATTTCTGAGATACAGTAGGATGTTTCATGAACTAGTTTCTCTCAACCTTTAATCTTACGGTTTGTGTCAACCTGACTCAGGACACTAAGGCAGGTTCAAGTGCCAGCGTCTGTTTCTGGACTGAAATGACAGACTGTGCCAATGGGAAGGATGGCTGGTGAGCTGGGCCCCAGCCCCCAGCTCTGGCATCTACAAGGCTCCCCAAGATGACCTGTGACCTATCTGTCCTTTCAGCTACTTGCCCCCTGGAGGGAAGGATCTAGGTGGGAAAAGCAGCAGACTACCAGTAAGTCTTCCCACCCCTCCTGGGATTGCCTCCAATTTCATCTGGGAAGCCAGGGGCCCTGGCAAGGGCAGGACCTGCCAGTCTCCTGGCAGCAGTCTCCACGCCTACTCTGGAACAGCTACTGTGCTTCCTGGGTGTGAGATTTCAAGACACTATCCCTTGCTCTCTTCCCAGCCTTTCACTTTATCTCCAGGCTGTGGTCCCCAAAGGAAAGAGGGAGCTGTAAAACACACGGGCAGGGGGTGATGAGAATGTGACTTAGGAAGTTAGAAGAACGCTTTGGTGAAGATATGACCAGTACCATCCCTCTTTGCCGCATCTGCCCCAATCTGGTTCCTTTCCCTCACCCTACCTGCCTTGGACGGGCCCACCCTAACCAAAGGCCTCAACTCTCACCTGACTTGGGTTTTAGTGTTGTCCTGTGACTCAGCACCCAGGTGACGGGGCCCTTGGATGGAGGCTGCCTGCAGGTCCCCCCTGCTATATCCAGTAAGTGCTCGTGTCCGGAGCAGGGGCATACATTTCTGTCGCAGTGAGACCGAGAAAATGTGAGTGGGTTTATTCCAGGAGCCCATGGTCCCTGGTGGGAATATAAAAAGTCCAACATGCTTGATGGGTGAAAATGGACCAATGCACTGGCTGGTTCCTGAACCATCTTCTGACCCCTGTGCCACCCTTTTTCCTTTCACACGTAGGCAGTCCTGGGGACCCTCCCCCTTACCAGGCTGCTCTTTGTCCCAGTGTGTTCAGGAATGGGGACCTGTTAAGTCCCCCGTTTGGGCTGAAGCTGTCCCAGGCTGCCAGCGAGGACTGGGAAACGGTGCTGAAGCTCCTGACGGAGAAGGCCAAGTTACAGAGTGGGGCTGTGTGCAAGTGAGTATGGCGACTGGAGAAGCCCAAGTCTCCAAAGGGAGCCTCTTTGCTGGTTTCGACTGTCCTTGAGGATGAAAAGGCAAAAGGAAAGCACATTTCCCTAAACGGGATTTCTTTCTGTGCCACGGGCAGAGGCCCCTCCAGCCCAGCTCTTGGAGCCAGGGCAGAGCCTAGGTGACTGGCCCTGGTGCCCAGAGGACCAGTAGCCAAAGGATACCCTGGAATAGCTGTACCCACCCCCTCATCATCTGCCAAATATGAAGAGGCATCTTGTCCTCCGCTCACCTCTCTCCCCCAGACTCTGCACCCTGGAGGGCCTCCCGTTGTCAGCAAGGGAGGCTCTGGTGAGTGGCCGTTACTATGTGGCTGTTGGAGAAGATGAATTCAAGGCCCTCCCCTATCTGGAGCTGCTGGTGCCTAACCCCTCCCTGCCCTGGGGCTGCTGGTATGTATGTGTGAGGGGGTGTGGGGGGATAGCTGGTTAGAGCAGAGGAAGACACCCTGACCCCATGTCCTCTTCTGCCTACTACAAGCCTTTCCTTTTTCATTGCAGGCATCCTCGAGACCCAAAGGCTAGGCCCCACAAGCAGGGGGTAGGTGACGTGTGAGGCCAAAGGGAGCGAGGGAAGGAAGGAGAGTGACTGGCTGACTCCTCCTGCAGCTCAGGCTCTGCCCTTACCTCACTGCATCCTCTCAGTAATCGTGTGAAAGAGATGATTATTCCCATTTCCCAGAGGAGAGATTGAAGTTCAAAGGAGTGAAGTAATTTGTTCAGGGTGACACAGTAATTGAGTGGTAGGGGCCAGACCAGACCCTGATCGGAAAGTCAGCTCATCCAGGCTCTATGAGGAACTTCAGGACTCTGACTTCCTGGACCTAACGCCTGCTCACCAGGTTCAGTGCTGACAGAGAGAAGTGGTATGTCTGGCACAGCAGAGTCTACAGGAGCTTATCTCCCATGAGCTGAGCCACTGAGCATCCAATGGGGGCTAGGGAGACTCAGCCTGGTTTCGCTGGCCTTCTTTCTTTTTTTTAATATACATATATTTTTACTGATTTGAGAGAGGAAGGGAGAGGAAGAGAGAGAGAGAGATTTACTGATTTGAGGAGAGAGAAAAGAGGAAGAGAGAGAGAGAGAGAGAGAGAGAGAGAGAGAGAGAGAGAGAGAGAGAGAAACATCAATGATGAGAGAGAATCATCGATCGGCTGCCTCCTTGCACACCCTGCACTGGGGATCGAGCTCACAACCCAGGCATGTGCTCTGACCAGGAATCAAACCCAGGCCTCTTCAGTCCACAGGCCGACGCTCTATCCACTGAGCCAAACCAGCTGGGGCTCCCTGGGCTTCTTGAGTGCCAGGCACCAGCTACTCTGTTCTTGGATAAGGCAGCCTGATGGGAAGAGGGAGCAGGGAGGGAGGATGCAGGCTATGAAGATGGACAGCATCTCCTCTCCAAGCTACCACAGGCACCAGGGCATTCAAGCCTGGACTGGGAGTAGAGAAGGTAAGAACAACAGTACCTGTGGCCCAAGCACTGTGTTCCCTCTACAGGCCCATGGCCACAGGACACACACAACCCAACTCTCTCCAAAGAAACCAAGCCAAATTGAGCCATCTGCTTTCTATGCCAGACCCCCACAGGCTACTCAGCCAAGAAGCATGCTCCCCGCGCTCTCATTCCCATCAGGTGAGGGGGCCCTGGACTGAGACTCTTCTCAGCCACCTTCTCACTGGAACAGGGGAGGTCCCTGCTGCTGTGGGGATGGTCCATGGGGGCAGAATGCCCAGGTACAGAGCTAGCCCTGACCTCGGCAGAGCTGTCTCCCATGTGCATATCCAGTCCCTTTGTCTGTCTGTCTGTCTCTATTAAGCCTCACCTGAGGATTTGTTTGTTTTGTTTGTTTGTTTTAATTCATTTGAGAGAGGAAGGGAGAGGGAGACAGATACATCAATGATGAGAGAGAATCACTGGTGGGCTGCCTCCCGCGTGCCCCACGCTGGGGATGGAGCCCACAACCCAGGCATGTGCCCTGACTGGGAATCGAACCGCGACCTCCTGGTTCATAGGTCAATGCTCAACCACTGAGCCATGCCAGCTGGGCCGAGGATTTGTTTTTTATTGATGTTTAGAGAGCAGAAGGGAAAGAGAGAGAAATAAACATTGATATGAGAGAGAAACATCAATTGGTTGCCTCCCGTCCCCATTCAGAGATGGAACCCATAACCTAAATATGTGCCCTGATCAGGAATCAAACCCACAGCCTTTTGGTGAACGGATGATGCTCCAACCAATCAAGCTACCCAGCCAGGGCCAGTCCCTTGTCTCTTTACAAGGACTTGGCATATGGAAAGAAGTACATGGAAACTCAAAGAAATGAGTCTTCAGGGGTGGGATTTGGAAAGGACGGGGGTGGGGGCCAAAGTCCTGCTTCTGAAGCACCCTGCCATCCTCCAGGTAATGAGCAGCAAGGCTCAGGGGAGGGGAAGGGACTGGTAGAGAAGATTAAGGGAAAGAATGTTCAGGGCTCAGCCTGAGCATCAGCCAATGTTGTCCCCTCATCAGGAGTGTATGGGGCTCCCCACCCAAGGAAAGAAACAGAAGGGGCCCAGGAAGTAGCAGATGATACAGACACCTGGACAGAGGAGCCCTTGGATCAGGTGGGCTGGGGCTGGAAGCAGTGTGCTGGGACAGGAGGGGTTCTGAGCTGGATAGAGACTGTCAGCCCTGAGTCCCAGGATCAGTTCTTCCCCCTGTGACTCTGAGCAGATCTCCTAACCTCTCAGAGCCCACTTCCTACCTTGTTAAATGAGAGGCAAATCCTAATTTCTAAAGTCTCTTCCTTTCCTGGGATTGGGACACTCGGCTG